GGAATGCAACTTTTCTCAAATTGACAGTCTATTGGCACAGTAATTTTCTAGAAACATTTCTTTTTATATTCTTATTTCCTACTAAGATGCAAGCTCCAATGCAAGTCTAGAAAGTCCTAGATAGGAATTGAGTATGAATACAACCAAACAGCACTAGAGTATCAATAGAAGTTTATTTTTTCTAAATCAGCTGTCAACTGAATCAGTTGAGATTTTTATGTGCTATTTTTGCTGTACTTCTTACCTTACATGCAACAGGAGCAAGAACAAATTGGAAGAGGGCTAGGTTTTGAACATTCAGCATTCTATAACATGCAGAATTATTAAAACAGATACTATTTTTACCTAGAGAGAAAACAGTAACTATCTCCTTTGTTCATCCAAGAATTTAATTTTTTTATGTTTAGAAAACCAAAACCTTGAAAGAGAAGCAACTTTCTGATGACTGAAGCTAGTCAGCTTAGTGAAACTTCACATCTATCAATCCAGCAATCTGATCAAACACTTACCATTCGTAAAGCCTTAGCAAAGGACTCCATTGCAACCGACTCTTTGCCAGGTGTTCTGATGGCAAGTTCTGCAACCGCATTAGCCATCAGCATCTCTGAACAACCTATTCATTGAAGAAATACAGATGTTTTATATCCAACAGTAATACAAAATATATACCACGTACCAAGTACAAAGAACGTAATACTCACCTCCACCATAAACAGTTCTAGGGTCCTTCACAGTCTGGGCAAGGACACAGAGAGCATCATGCAAAGACCTCTCTGCTTCGTCCAGAATCTGCTGTGTTGCTCCACGCAAAACTATGGTGCAAGCTTCACCTAAAAAGTGCAAATGCAAGAAGACTAAAAAAACCAAACCAAAGACACAAAAAGGCTATCGCAAAGCATTTGTAATGGTTTTACTATCACTGCAGCCAAGTTCTACATAGACCAATTTTGAGAGGAAAAGCAAGCATGATGACATTTCACAAGTCGAATGAAATCACGTATACGATGCTACTGCTTGTATCGAGTAAAAGTTCCACAAAACCTTTTAATAGAAAAATAATATTACTTCAAAACAACTTTTCAGGAACTTAGAGTAATAGCATTTAGAACAAGCTCTCAAGTTCTTCAGTTATGACATGTTGCTACTTTTGTTGTCAATTGAATCTTCCGAAGCAGAACTTTGGTTCCCATCCTTAAAAATGTTTGTGTATGTCTAACGTTATGTAGATGAACAATTCCAACCATGAAGATACAACTTCGCAGAACTTTTTTATTGAAGAGCAAGGCATTAATAAAACGCGTTATGTGAATCATCACAGAATTCCTGTGCCATCCTGGTAACTGACCAGGGTTAGCAAAGGGTTAACACAAATGTTGCATCACACCCTTAGTGGTAAAACACTTACCCATTGCCACTCCAGAGAAATGAATGAGTTTATCTTCTCCAATCATGACCTCTTCAATAAGCTTGCAGCTTCCTAGTTTTACTAGCTCAGGGTGATCAAAAGTTGATGCAATTTCACCACCTACAAATATAAGATCACACAAAAGTCAAAGAGCTCATGATGAAAGTATCTGTTTGGGCAAGGTCTAACAAAAGGGGGGAAAAATAAAGATTGTAAAAAAAATAATCTTCACAATTGCCTCAAAATAAATTGAAAATAACAGTACTGATAAGCCAATTTTTTTCCAATGTCAGCATACAGCACCAGAAACATTCTACTGATGTTGGCAAATCCTTAAAACACAAATATTTTGTTTCTCATCAGAAGAGCTACAATAGCTGTAATGCTTTTGAGATCTGTCTAGGTAAGAGAGACTCGATGTTGATACTTGCTAGTACTAAAATGCCAATCTGTTACAAGTTTTAATAGCATATATTGGTGAAGCGTTTATAAAATATTAAATCAAGTTTGTTATGTTTTTGAGCTTGTGCCAGTGTTTATTTTGCCTGCCTGATGATGGCCGAAAACCACTGGCCACCACTCTTCAGAATCATGACTCTTGTGCCATGCCACAGCAGTGATACTGTGCACTATTTTTGAACTTCCATATCATAAACAAAACAGGTATAACAAAGACCAAAATGTCTCTGAACAGAATATTGTTCTAGTACTTTGCTCTTCCTAAAAAAAATCAGTTACTACATGTATTCACTCCCAATATATGATCAATTATTCCACATCAGCTTGCAGCTTTGCTGTAGTTATAGCTGTACAAGCAGAGATCTGTAGTAGAGTTTGTGCTTACTAAAAGCTTGTCTCTACTCAACCATTCTGGTTTTCTGCCTTCCTTGCCCAATTTCCTACACCTGGGGACTGAGATCTCTTGCACTCCATGGAAAGCACCCTTAAAAGATCTGCCAGCTCTGTTCTGCACCCTTGTCCCTGAGAGCCATCTACCACAGGGTCATATTTAGTAACTCCCTGAAGAGCTGGAAGTTTGCTTTCCTAAAATTCAGAGTTCTGACTATGCTTTTCATCTGCCTTACACCCCTTAGGACAGTGAAGTGCACTAGTGCACAATGACTGTAGCCCAGGCTGCCTTTAACTGACATCCCTGATGAATTCACTTGCATTGTGACCATCAGGTCCAATAACACATCCCCTCAGGAAGGGCTGTCAACTTCTTGTCACAAGTTGTCATCGAGGCACTCCAGGAGTCTCCTGGACTGCCTACAGCTTGCTATGCTACTTCTCAAACAGATGTCAGGGTGGTTGAAATCCTGCAGTAGGATGAGAGCCTGTGATCGCAATGTCTCCTCAAGCTGGAGTAAGAAGGCTTCATTGATAGGCTTCTCTTGCTTAGGTAGCTTGTAGTAGACTCCAGCCACAAAATTCCCTTTTTTTGTCCCAATCTCTAATTCCCACCTATAAGCGTTTGACCCACTCACAGCTATTCTTTGGGGACAACTCTTCTTACTCTATCCACATCTTTAGAGGGCAACACCTCTGCCTCTTCTTCCTGTCCTGTTGCTTCTAAATAGCTTGTAGCCATTGGTAGCCACACTCCAGTCATAGGATTCATCCCACCAAGTTTCTGTAATTGTCACTGTGTCGTAGCTTTCCTGTAGCATGGTAGCTTCCATCTCCTCCTGTTTGTTGCCCATGCTGCATGCATTGCTGTAGAGGCATGTCAGCTAGGCTGCTGGCCGTGTCACCTTCTTAGAGGAACACTCCTTTATTCCCCCAAGACATCTCATGGATGCTACCCTGCTGTCTCCTATTACCCCAGGAGTCCTTGGCGCATCTCTCTAAGGCTTTGCCTGTACTACAGTATCCACAGCATGCTTCAAAGCAACAGGTTGAAGCCCTTACTATCACCCCATCCTTCCAACCCTGGCTTCCTGTCGCTTGTCACAGACAACCTATATATTACCCTCTTCACATCTAGTTTAAAGCCCTGGGTTGCTGTGTCCATTCTGATGAGTGTTGGGGGTGCTGCCTTCTGCCAGGTAGAGACCACGGCTGAGCTCTCCTGCTGCCTCTCTCCTTGCTCCTTGGTCTTAGTTAATGCTTTTCTGGGAGGGCGATGACCACCAGTTAAGATACCTCTGGAGCCAAGAGGGGGGCTGCGCCCTCTCCGCAAGCCCTGCTGGTGCAAACTGCTGCACCACACTCTCTCTGACATGCCACCCCCTTTGCCTGTCCTGTCTGCCACACTCCTGGATGTTATGGCCAATGTGATGTGCTTGTATTTAAGTACCGTCAAATCAATTTTATCTGGAGTAATTTTCACATTCACAAATTTGCTTAATAGTAAAAAGTACAAACTAGGTGATCAAGCGTTAACATTTTACTAAAGATGAAACAAGTAAAGTGACTCTCCCAGTTGACATACCTGTAACAAGAGCCAGACGTTCTACACCAGCAAAGTCTGCGTGTTCAATAGCCATGACGCCAGCAGCTCCAAAGAGTTGTTCAGGATAGTTGTAGATCAACTGTCTACAATTAAAACAAAGGTACATCTTCCCATTACACAAGGAACAAGCCTTTTAAATACCAGAGTAACAAAGGACACTCAATCTTCAGTAATACAGACAAGGAGATATTTATGCATGCTACAAAAGCAGTCAGTGTGTAAGGCACCTGCCATACATGCAGTGTTACACCACAAAGGAGCAAATGAAGTGACATGAAAACATACAAAGCTAAAAACAACCAAAATATTCAAACTATTGAAATGCTCTCCCCCTGAAGACATACTATCAATGCAGAGGGACACTTATGCCTTTAATTTTAAGTCCTTTGATAAGTGCCTCTGGGCACCGAACTGCTTATTCCAGCAGGGTGCACTAGACCAGTATGTGAAGTAAGGTCTTCAATTCCTTCACCAATACAAAATCCAAACAGTACACAATTCTATAGGAGCAATAAATGGCTAGTCTTAGAAGATATAACAGTGAACCACAGAAAAGAGTATGTGATCCCTTATTAATATGTATCCTACTCTGTAGAACCAAGCAGTCCTCTAAAGCTGAATTATCAATGACTATTCAAGAGTGCTATGCCAAATTATTTTTCCCTTCCAAATCAGAGACTGAGCATTGTAGATAATTCAGCAGG